TAAAATGGATTGATATTATTATGAAAACAATAAGTATTTTTATTTTTTTCTTGTAAATTTATATTATAACGATTTTTTCAACAAAATAACATACTTTTAAATGTATTTTTCATTTATAACCCTACAACGTAGGCCTATACTTTTAATGTCTTAGTTACCTGTGTTTCAATCCACAAATATTTTTTCCAATTGATGAAAATTAGGCTGGATTTTCTACAGATGCATTACATTTTGAATGCATTGTAGAAGTAATTGAAATAATCAAATTTTACTATGGCATGGATCCTTGATTGAACACTACTATCGTTCAATCTTCGGCTTGTACTGTTTTTCGTATGGTTGCTAATGTCTAATAAATAGCCTAATGATAAAGTTTTCGAGCCTACCTCCCCCCCCCCCTTTAATAAACAGTTAAAACCTGGATGTAATTTGTAAATCTTCTATTTTTTTATTTTTTTTAATTAAAAAGAAGAGAAAATTGAATTTTTCTTTAATTATTAGATCTAACTTTGTAACAATTCGCAATAATAATAACTTTAATATCATAAGAGTTTTTATTTATTTGATGAGTGGATTTAAAATTTAAAACCATAAAAGAAAATTAAAACAATTAATTTTTTGCTTTGTTACTGTAAAAATTATTTTGCTTTGTTTTCACTTTATTTTGTCTCACATATTGTTGCGTTTTTTCGAAAAATATAATAAAATTTTCCCACCAGTTAAGATTTCCCAAGGTTTTGCCTGATTTTCAAAATTATTCCCCAGATCCCAAGGGGGGTCGTGAATTCCCAAGATCCTTGGAAATTTCCCAAGGTGTGGTAGCCCTGGGCAAACCAACAGGAAGTGTCGGTCATAACCATCACGTGACCAACCTCACGTGACCAGCAGGGTCCGAATAGCGATTTGTAGCTATTGGTACTCGGGTACCTATAGCCACTTCGTAAAATTAATTTTGTGAACTATTTCTGGATTTGATCATTTAATTTGCTGAAAAATTTAAAGAATCATTGATTGGTTAGCGAAATTGTAATCATTTATTCCCAACAATGTTCAAACAATTTTTTAACTGTAACTTTTTCTATTACTAATATTCATAGTGGACTCTCGAATTAAATGACATGCAGAATTAACCAACGTTCATGGTTTTGGGGTGTGGGGGGGGGGGGGTTAGCAGATTTACAGGCATTCTGACCAGGTGGAAAAAAAACCTATTAATTTAACTATAACAGACATATACTGGCTAATAGAGATGATTTACTAATATTCATAGTGGACTCTCGAATTAAATGACATGCAGAATTAACCAACGTTCATGGTTTTGGGGTGTGGGGGGGGGGGTTAGCAGATTTACAGGCATTCTGACCAGGTGGAAAAAAAACCTATTAATTTAACTATAACAGACATATACTGGCTAATAGAGATGACATCAATCATTTTGTTTTCCTGATTTTGAACCTGGCCCATTCTCAATTTACCAGCTGCTCGCCTTAAGCATTTCATCTCGCAAGTGAATATGTTTCTCTGTATTCACTGCCCTGGTCTGACACTGGCAAGTAAGGGTTGGAATAATGACAGTGGCTTTCGTCTCAATCTTTACATGTGGGTGTTACAGTAACGGGACTAATTTGGTTGCATTTGCCCTCTGCACTCTTGTTTCTATCTTCTAACTATACATTCTTCCGTCCTTGGTGAAAATGCTTCCCAAATTTTTTTAAAACTGCTGACTTTGGTTGACAAAACAGCGATCTAGGGGACGGCCTATACTAACATTGACCTCGGCCGTATATTTCATTTCATAAAGTTCGCAGCACTGTTCAGGCTATCAACATGTCCCTGCAACTGTCCTTTATTATCGTTCATCTGCAAATTACCAACCCGTAGAGTGTCCCGGGATTCAGATGGCATCCATTATGATTTTGTCCATGTACAATTATGAACACACATGGTGATAGAATGCAATCCCGTCTGACTCCTGGCTGAACTTAATCAAACCACTCAGAGAGACTTAGCACAGCACTCAAACTTTTTATCGAGGAGATGTCCGTTCAATCCGTACGTTTCCAGCAAACCCCCCCCCCCCCCCCCCCCCCCCCCACCCTCCCCCCCCCCCCCAACAGCTTATCTCTGCCCACCTTGCCTAAAAATTTGTCCTGGTCAACAAAAAGGAGAAGCAGCTTTTATTTTAATATTCACAAGCTTTTGCACACATTTGGCGGAAGGCAAAAACTGCATCTGTACAATATCTTTCCCTATCTGAATCCAAACGGGGCAATACTAAGAAGGGGTTCATCTGTAGCCTGGGTCCACTACTCCAAGATCTTCGCAAACATTTTACCAGCGTAACTTAGGAGAGAGATTCCTCTGCATGTGCTGCAGTCATTAAAAAAAAATAATCCCTTTCTTATTCCATACGAGGTTTTCTAGAGCCACGTGCAAGTCTTCTGGGGCACTTCTTTCTTCCCATATTTTTTGCAATATTATTGTGAGTCATTTGATACCGGTCTGTCCATATACGGTGATGGCTTCCTTGGTGAGTCCATCTCAATCCATAGCCTTGTTCTTTGGATTGGTCCTTATCACGTCTCAGACTTCTTTTTCAAGTATACTAGATTCCGTGTCCTCTTAATCATACATGAGATTAAGGCCGTTTAATAAATTCAGTGTTTCTTTCAAGCATCTCTCCGGCAGTGCAACCACACCTCCGGAGCAAGTGAAGTGCGCAACCCCCCCCCCCCAACTGGAGCAAAATGTGTACAACAATATAACGAAAGTATATTTTGTAAATTAAAAGTGGCGAAATTGTTATTTTTAAATAGTTTTAAAAAGCGTAGTGGCTGGTCAAGGGGCCTCGCATGAATTTTCTCACGGGGGGGGGGGGGCTACAAACTCATAGCCTACTGGTAATATCTCTGGCAACTGTCCACTGACAATGCCCCCCACCCCCCAAATCTGCAATTCCACCCCGGGGGGAAATGTCTGAAAGAAATATTGAATACATTCTCTCAGCGGGATTGAGCTGCTATGTATAACGATGTAACATTTCGGCTAAACGTCAACTAGATGGACGTAAGAAAAGAAACAGAGAAGCTGTCCGCCACGGGCGGCAATTTCGGAGGGCGAAATGTTTTGTCCACAGCAGTCACCATACATACAACTTGTGACTTATGTTTGATGTTTTGTCTAATGTTTTGTGTTTTTTTTTTTGTAATTCATGGGCGGCAAAGACAAGGACGGAGCATCACAAACATTAACTACTCCACCAGAGGTGTACCGAGGGTGTGGTAAGACGCCTCACGTGCCGGGGGTGCCACTTGAAGGGGGTGAAAAATTTGCAAGTTGGACAAAGAATTTTTTACTTCTAAAAACCCTAATGTTTTTGCTTAGTTTACAGGTACTTGTGTTAGACCAGTGGTCGGAAAATCGTGGCTCACGAGCCGCATGCAACTCTTTAGCGACCTGAGTACGGCTCGGCCAGCCGGCCACAAGTCGGTTTTGACTCCGATAAACATGGGTCTTGACCAGAAATTTGGCTCTCAAAATTTCGTTAATTGTCCTGTTGCTGATTTTAGGCTCTTTTGGCTAATGAGTTCTCCAACCACTGGATTAGATTAACATCAAGTAGGCCTACTTATGTGAACCCTGATCTTAAATTTGTCTAAATCTTCATATTAGGCACAATAAAAAAGCTTGAGAGGGGCGAAACTTTAGTCCATACCATTGGTGGAAAATTCAAAAGCAGTGATGTCTCTTTTAATCCATAAATTATGTTTATTTTAGATGCTTTGAACCATGGACCAAAATGCCGCCTCTCAAATATAAAAAAAAGTGCCTAGGAGGGTGGGGGTTGGGGATGTCCGCACACGTTAGTGGATATAGGCATAGCTAACTAATTATATATATATATTATATAGGTGCCCCTGATGTTCACGCCCAGGGCGCCCACCTCTTTTTGCATCGCCATGATAATAAATAATTATTGTTGCAGGCCTTAAAATTATGTGTCTCATATTAATCAGTTTATAACATAATTAAAAGTTTTCATAGTTTAATTTAAATTTTAATTAAAAAAATTAATCGTATTTTATAACTTATCATTTTATTTTGCTATCTCCTTTAGGATTCGAACATAACACTATGCTGATTTTTGTTGTTGTTGTTGTTGATAACGTGTCTTAAGACAGGGGGTGTTGGTTGAAAAAATGTTTGAGAACCATTTAATAAAAAATTGAAATATTTATTTTAAAAAAAAAATCAACACTCCATAACATTTTTTGTGAATGGAAACTAAGAAACACCGCGCCGACGCCCCCTTCGATAAGAGTGTTACAGCTTGCTTCAGATACTAATTTGTGTACTATTTGCCGTCTGTTACCCCAACACTTAGTTGTAGTATTATTAATAAATAAAATAATTTAGAACATTAGACTAACTAAGCGAGGACTTTCATCTCATAGGTTAATAACAGACAGTATTTAAAGTTTCAGTAAGTAGCCTTAAGTATAACTATAAGTGCAGCATTAAAGTCACAAACTTTGTGACAAAGTGAACGTTGTATTCGTATTATTATTATGATTCATGATAATCATGACAGTTTGATTTCACGGTTAGTGATAGTGACACTGAACTGGTGTATTGTTATCGGTGTAAGTTGCATGTCAAGGATGTCGAGTTGTGTAGGCTAAATAACTTAAAAAGGTATTTTTAAAAATTCTAAAGAATTCTAAAGAATTAAATCTATGTACTATTATGTAAAATTTCTTTGGATGAAAAAAAAAGGGGGTGGGGGTGGGGGGGGGGGGTGGGCTGTTATTGTTTAATAATTAAGGGCTTGATCATTTGATTTCACGAAATAGAGCTGCTGTTGCTATAGAAACATTTGCCCTACTTAAATATAAGATAGTATGGAAGTTGCTATTCGGACCCGGGTCTGAGAAGTTAGAGGTTGGGATTAAAATTTAAAAAAAAAATATATTATTGTTCGGTTGTAAGACAAAATTTGGTATCAAATGAAAGATAATTGAATGGACTATATGTTTGTAAACTTAATTCTTCAGTTTAACTAAAATAAACTACCACAAATGACACCCGAATAGCACTGAGTCTAAAGGAGATGCGTTTCCGGTTCCATTTTGTCTAAATACTATTCGAATGTCATTAATTTGTGGTAGTTTATTTTAGTTAAACTTAAGAAGTACAAATCCTACAATAATTTTAAAATATTTTTCAATGAACCCAAACTCTAACTTCTCGGACCCAGTTCCGAATAGCCGCAGCCATTGAAGGCAGAAGGTGGGGAGCAGTGCATCGATAAACGCCAAAAGTAGGCATATTGATAGTGGCAATCGGCGCCAGCTCTGAATCCCGTGCTACCACCTACATAAGTTAATAAATATCATTAGTATTTTAGCCTAACTTAATCAATGTTATGTTATTAATAATTCATCCCAGTTTTGGCACCCTGGGGCTATAATGCCATGCCTTTGACTTTGATTGGATTGGTACCACCTTAGTCTTAGTCTTAGTTTCGCCTCTGGATTCTATATTAAGTTATAAGTAAAATATAGTCCAACTACTTTTATAACATGAAAGTGAAATACTTTTTCTTTCGGTTTAAGAACATATCACTATAATAATAACATCCACATGTGAATGTTTATTTGAAAATGAATAGATACAAAGACAAAGGTGCAATAAGTGTAATTATTATCCCTTTGATTTTGGGGGTTTGGGGACTGGAGATGAAAGTGAAAGTAAGGGTAAAGTTATACAGGTCTGTGCAATATGAATACCTAACTTCAGTTTTGCACCAATAGACAATAGAGAAACAGAAAAGATGCTTGAAGATTTAGGTTGTTTTTATAGTAATATAAATAAAATAAATCCTTTTTAATAATTGTTACTTTTAATAGTAATCTTGTATTATAATTTGTATTTAAACTATTTATTTATTTTACCTAATTCATCAATGTAATAATACAAGTAATATTAAAAGAAAATGAAACAAAACGTTAATAATTAGCTGCCTTCCTTCATTGATTAGAAATTTAAATATTACCAAATTTACTACAATGAATGTTGTCTAAATAAATGATTGGGTCTAAATATCATTTATTGCTATCTAAAATGAGTCATTATTATTTTTTTTAAAGTGTAGTCCTTTATGTGTGGCATGATTATATTAAGAAGATAAATGACAAATCCATTAACCAGTGGCATAGAAGGGGGTGTGGAGGAGGCAGCCTGCCCTAGGCGGTCCTTTTTTCCTTATAACCTTAGCTATGCCACTGAAATGAAAATATAGTCTTTTAAAAAAGGTGTCCATATATATTATTTATTTTCTAAATCTCTAGATTTAAATAAACTGACAAAGTAAAAGAAACTTTAAACAAAAATAAATGTCAAAAAGTAATAAAGGGAATAGATTTAAAAATCGTAAACTAGTTCACATGTGTCACAAAACTGTTCTTTCAACTTTCTAGTTTATACTACAGTGGTGGACTCGGTCTAAAAGTATTGAGTGCCAGGCAGGATGCAAAGAGGTCCAACTCACTATTAGACTATCATTTTATTTTTATATAAAAATTAAATATTAACAAATACATAAGTGGAGGGGGCCAACCTGACAACCTTGGCAGTCTACCAGTGAGTACACAGGGCAGTCTACCAGTGAGTACACAGGGCAGTCTACCAGTGAGTACACAGGGCAGTCTACCAGTGAGTACACAGGGCAGTCTACCAGTGAGTACACAGGGCAGTCTACCAGTGAGTACACAGGGCAGTCTACCAGTGAGTACACAGGGCAGTCTACCAGTGAGTACACAGGGCAGTCTACCAGTGAGTACACAGGGCAGTCTACCAGTGAGTACACAGGGCAGTCTACCAGTGAGTACACAGGGCAGTCTACCAGTGAGTACACAGGGCAGTCTACCAGTGAGTACACAGTAACAATACCAGTACTCAAATATCTAATGTTCATATTTGAATTAAACTCCATTCAATTAATGTTCCAGATATAAAAATGAGTCTTAACATATATTTCTCTGGAAGCATGAGAGGGGGACGCCAGGATGTGGACATATACTACACAATAATAGAGCAGCTTCGAAACTATGGGAAAATTTTGACAGAGTTTGTAGCTGATAAGAATGAAACATATGAAAAAGGTTTGTAAAAATGTGCAAATAATTTTTAAAAAAAATTTACTGGTGTGCTCAATATCCTACCAGTGAATACCAGGACAAATTGTCTATCATTGTGCTCATGGTTTATGATTGTACCAGTAAACTTCTTCTTCTTCCACAAAGGTCTCATTTTTCTCAAAAGCAATACTCACTAATGAGATTTTAAAAAAAAATATTTAAAAAAAAACACTCAAACTGTTCCATGAGAGTGATGGATTCCCCATGTTATTTCAACATTGTCAAATTTCTGACTCTTTGTAATGCTGACAGTGGTAAAGAAAAACTTTTTTATCCAGTCATTATTTTACTTTGTTGATCAGTTGATGACAAAACTATCCACGACAAAGATGTTAGCATGTTGGAGGAAAGCCATTGTAAGTATATAAAGCTTGGGGCTGTGTGAGTATTTCTGCTACCTGCTTAATCCTCTGAAGCAACTCATGCCAGTAGCGGTTTCAGGCAGCATCCATTTTCCTCAATCAAATTGATAAAGAGTGGTTCCTTTTTCCAAAGTTTTTGCCATAGTAAAAGGTAACTTTTTTTGCCATAGTAAAAGGTAACTTTTTGTTGTCATAGTAAAAGGTAACTTTTTGTTGCCATAGTAAAAGGTAACTTTTTGCCATAGTAAAAGGTAACTTTTTTGCCACTGTAAAAGGTAACTTTTTTGCCATAGTAAAAGGTAACTTTTTTGCCATAGTAAAAGGTAACGTTTTTGCCAAAGTAAAAGGTAACTTAAAAAAAATATATATATATAAATCTCTCATTTTCCTTACATAAATTGCCTAAAAATATGTTAAGTTTACCTCAATTAAAAATATGTTATCCCTATTAAGTTTACTAAAGATGCTGCCAGTTTTGTGAATTCATGAAATTTTTTTTCTACTTCAAACCAACCCCCCCCCCCCCCCCCCCCCCNCCCCCCCCAAAAAAAAATCAAATCACTTCACTATTTCTTGTAGGTATTGTTGCTGAAGTAACCCAGCCCTCCCTTGGAGTTGGTTATGAGATAGGAAGGGCAGTGGCCATGAAAAAACCCATCCTTTGTCTTTACAGGCCGCAGGAAGGAAGATGTAAGTTTAATGACTTAATAAAAAAACTATATCAGTTTTTCTTTTTATTTAGAAAATGGAAATATATGATGGGAATATTTTAATCAAGTTTAGAATCTACTTAACAGCCAGATCTGAGCATAATGTTTTTTAAGTATTGTTGCTTAGGTAACAAAATAAAGATCAACTCATAAGAGGATTGGCTGTTCTAAGAACAGCCTCAAAGTCAACAACATGAATATTCGGCAGGTGTCGTACCTGTACTACCCCGTTCAAGTGGACAGACGAAGAACAAACTTTTTAGTGTAGTAATTTTAAGAGTAGAAAAGAAACAGTGTATATAAAAATAAAATATAGAAAGTGTTATCTTTGTTCCTATGATTGAATTTGGCTTGGACTCTAAAGATAGTACCAGTAATGTGGTGGTTGATGTTTAATACTGGTGGTAAACATGGTGATGGCAGTCAACTTGTAAAACTTTATTGATGATGATCTTCTGATACAAGTTTTTATAGAAGTTATTTAATCGATTTTGATTCTAATCCATTTTACGCTTAATGCATTTTTTTTTTTTTAAAAAGATCATGAATAATCATAATGTCTGTAGCCCACTTGTCTTCAGTTGTGTATTTTAATCCCAGCATTTTTTTCCCAAGATGGCGATGCCAATATGATTTAGTTGATGCCTTCAAGGTCCAGAAGTAACATCTAAGCAATGTTCCTCATGATAAACACAAGATTAGCAGTTCAATGCACATTCAACAAATTCAAAACACTTTGATTCAAAATGAAACATACAAAATCTCAAAAACTATTTAAAAAATTTGGAAAAAAAGCACAAATGCAATCCTATCACCGGCAGTGCAGCGCCCAGGTTGTTCTCTCATTACACTTTCCTCTTGTTCTCTGTGGTTGTGTTGATGGTATCTTTTTTTTTCTTCTTTAAATTCATTTACCATGAAATAAAATATGTGTCTTTTAGTTAAACTTCTCCCCTTACCCATTCCAAGAAACAAATGAGTTATAAATAGAATTATTAAAGAAGTGTCATCGTATTTTTTAGTATTCACCTTTTGGTCCAACAAAATTGTTAATGAAAAATTGAAATAGCATATTATTCACCTTTTGGTCCAATTCAATTTTTTATGAAACATTGAGATAACAATCATTTTATTCAAATTTCGGTCGCAATGAACTGCACAACTTGTCACAGGGGATTTTATAATTGTCAGTGGTGCATGATCTTTAGTTTGATTTGAAAATGACCTGTTACTGAGCGAAAACGTGTAATAGAATGGGGTGATGCTTTGTTAAAAATTAAAAAAAAAATTCAAACTAAACTTTAATTAAAAAAACCCACCTAATTTTGAATTGATTTGCCCTCCATATTATTATTTGATAACCTAAAGAATGCCAGTGACACCTTTGGATTGCATATGCAGCTGGTATTTTTTTTGAAGTCACTTTCTTTTCAAGAGTTTGTACTTGTACCCTAAAGTTATTTAAAAATTATTTAAAAAAAAAATTAATGACTTATTATTGTTTCCCCAGTACTCTCTGGCATGATACGAGGTGCACACAATGGAACCACTTTCATAGTTATTGACTACAAAGTTGTATCAGAGGTTCCTGACATTCTCAGCAAATTTTTCAGCAACTTAACGTCATCATAATAACCTCACAGTGCATCTTGACCTAACACAGTTTTATGCCTGCGCCACTCATAGCACTTGAACATGGTGGAACGATTGTGTTGTCAAAATGTTCAAAATCAATACGTTAAAAAATAATGTGCAACATAAAAAGGGAGTCTGTTTTTATGACATGAATTGTATGTTAAGGGGACATAGATTGGATGTAAAGGGGATTTTCAAATCTTTGAACATTTCATTTAACACAGAAGATCTCGAATAAAAAGTTTGAATTTTTTCTGTATTGCCTGGTTACTACTACACTATGGATGCAGAATTAAAAACCAGTTTCCCCCAGACCCAGTAGAACTATTTTCTGAAATCTTTTGGCAGAGAGATATTTTTAATTGGTGCGGCTTCCGATATTTTAACTGTGTTAACCACCTGTTTGGTGATGCACATTTTGAAAACAAAAATCACCAGACGTAATGCTGGGGTAAAACTTAAACTTTGCAGAGCCGCTTTCAATTTCCATGCTAAAAACATGAGCCTTCAATCCTTATTTGTTGTTTCAATCATACTTTGTTACACTGTTAAAAAGTCATTAAAATATAGGCCTAGAATAAGTTATATAATAATAATAATAATAACATCTGTTCAGTTTGTCAGATAGCTTTCATTATTTGGCTGTATGCTTTTACACTATATTTTATTATTGTTCTTAAAATTGATGTTGTCATAATAAAGATATAAATAAAAAAGTAATTTTTTAAAAATATGTTGTGTTTTGAAAACTTTGGTTCAAATTATTTTAGAAATATATTTTTTAAGCGTCTTATATAATAAATAAAGTAAAAAACCATCAGATGGACCAACATTTAAAAATAAGCAAATGAAATTTATGCGAGGTGAATGGAAAAACCTACAAGCAGGGATAATTTATGAGAGCAGTGCCCTCCACCTTCCTTAAGATTTCCAGGTTGTTCAAGCGGATCATGTGCCTTTTTGGGAGTACATATCTGTGTGAAAAGCTCTTTTCCAATATGAACTTAAACAAGTCAAAGTTCAGGGCCAAACAAAATGACGAGCATATTCAAGCTATACTGAGGGTCTCAGTTGCTTCCTTACGCCAAATAATGCCCAGCTTTGTAAGAAGAAGCGCTGCCAGATCTCTGGCAACAAGGAGTAGGAAGAAGAAAGTGTAGCCTAGTTCTTAAGAATCTTTAATGTTTTTATCTGTTATTAATATAGTTTGAGCAGATTGTAACATTTGTACTTTAATGAATTTGTAATAGCTTTTTTGTAGAGTACTTGATGAGGTCAAGTTTTACTCAGACTCTACCTCCTGCAGCCTGCGGATGATTTGAGTTTGAGACCCCTGGTCTAAATTGTGTACTTGTCATTACGGAGGTCTAAATTGTGTGATGATATTTTCATAAAACAACAGAAATCATTGACAAGAGGTTGGATAAAGGAAAGACAATCCTACGGTGAAGACACACACGATCACCACAACCCAACCCTTCATTACATTGGTTTATGTCCATACTCTGAACAGTTTGAAACTATTATAAAAATGAATAGTTAAAGGAACCGCCTTCAAACCAGTACACCAGTGGTTCCCAGCCTGTTTTACAGACGGTGCCCTTTTTATGAATTAATTTCTATAGGGAAGCTCTTTAGACTGGCATGTCTTACAAACTCATTGTGTTTAGGATTTGCCTGGCGCAACCTGTTGTCAACCACTGCCATATAGGTACTAGTGAGATAAAATTGTTTTGTATTATAATGAATTAAATAGCTTCTTTATGCAAAATTATTCTTTTTGCAAAAGACATTTCAGATAGATTACTTTAATATAATATATATGAAAAAAGAAAGATTAAGCATACCCATAAGGCATCACTAAGCAGCCTACCTATTCAAAACTCTAATGAAAAATAACATTACTAAAAAGTAACATGCTAAACCTGGAAGCTGATGGAAGACGCGTTCAATAAAAACATATTATGAAGAATGGGTTGATCTTTTGCTAAGCTTCTAAATATAATATTAATATTTGAGCCTTCAGTGTGACACCGAACTGTCAGTATGTGACACTGAGCATCCAGTATACGAGGCTAAGCTGTCAGTATATGAGACATAGCTGTAAATAACAGTGTGATTTGGTTGGATATAGCTCCCAGGAAAACAGTCAATTTATTAGCTAGTGCTAAGAATGCAGTAGTTTTCAAATCACCATTTTTCAGCTTCTGACAGACTCAGCGTCAAATGAGAATGTCCTGATATCAACGTCCGTCCCAGGAATGAGTCCTATATAGAGACGACCCGGTGGTTTCAGACTGGGTCCAACGTGAGACATCTGATATTATGTTTTAAGCCTATATGGATAGGCTGGGAGCAAGGCAGAGGCCTGGCTAGGGTGTTTAGAACCCGATGACAAGATTCATTTCTACGCCCCCCCCAACCCCCTTTTCTTTAATAAACTCAGAACTCCATTATTTTCATCAATAAAATACAATATTGGGTGCTGGGTGGCCGATCTCAGGTTCAAGGTCTGGAGTTCAATCCCCACCAAAGCCCAGTCAAGCAAGAACATCACCAGCAACCCGGTTGGATGGGACCTGTTAACCATGGATCGCAACTCATCTAAGAGACGGAAACTCTGGATTCAAACCCGGAGATGGAGTCCCGTAGGCGGATAACATTGGAACAAAGAAATATTCCGACAACTCCTGCGACGCCACTGGTGCCAAGCTGTATCATCTATTTCGCAAATACGTTCTGGGATGATTGTCTACCTTATTTTCCAGTTAATGCATAATGGCTGTGTTGCTCCGGGTTGAAATGGCTAGAAAGACTTTGAGATTGTATGCTTGTAAGTAGTTTTTGTAGTGTTGCGTTTGTTTTAAATGTGGTAAATTATAGATATGTTTTTTGTTGACTTTGTACCACGCTTCGAGCCTTTGGGGATGAAGCGTGTTTTTGAAATGAACTTTATTATTATTATTATTATTATTATGATGTTCCCTTGGATAATCCAGGGGCGTGGAGAGAGGCGATTTGCTGTGTAAGGAGCCAGTCGATAATCCTAAAAAGAATAATGCCAGGTCTTGTGGATTTCGTCCAGCACCATCGTCGCCTTGTGACGGACGAGTGCAAAAAATTAAATACATATAGATTAATACATAAATAGATACAATCACCAAATGTATCACCAAACAAAGTAGTAGCTGAGAGGGCAGCAAAAAAAAATGTGTTATATAATACCGGATATCTCACAGGTCTCTTAGAACAGAGACGTGGCGGGGGGGGGGGGGAATACGAATGCATGGTACCAATGGTCACACCACACGTGCTATAATGATAAGGGTTCGGCGGTTCCGAAAAGGGCCCTTTTGGCGCATGGGAGAAATCTCTCCCCCCCCCCTGGGGGGGGGGGGGGGGGGAATACGAATGCATGGTACCAATGGTCACACCACACGTGCTATAATGATAAGTGTTCGGCTGTTACGAAAAGGGCCCTTTTGGCGCATGGGAGAAATCTCTCCCCCCCCCCCAAGTCACGTCTCTGTCCCAAGAGACCTGTGAAATATCTGGTATTATATAATATTTTTTTTTGCTGCCCTCAGGGAGACTACTTTTCTCGTTGCTATTTTTATTTTAGTTTTGTTTTTTCTGTAGTTCGCTGAAGAAGGCTTCCTGCCGACACGTTCGTTGTCTAGTTGCGTTCCTTTTTCCCAGGTTTTCCCATACTTTGTTTTACTCATTTCCTTGCTTGGTAGTATGTAGTAGGCCTATGTGGATTATTATGGATATTACTTCCTCCATGGACAAGTTCAAATAGCTGTATACCCTATCAATGGGCTATCGGTGGTGTCGCTAAAAGGGTTGGTACCATCCAGGGCGGGCCAAGACTTTTGCCTCCCCTCCCCTCGAGAAAACTCTGCGGAAAATGCTGCCCCTCAATATATTTAAACGCACACACAAGGACTCGGTACCCCTACTTCCAACGCCAGTGGGATCCTTGGTTGTGGGCGAAAAATCTAGAGCATCGTGTCAGTTATAGAAACTTAAGCATAGAAACTCAAACATCTTAATACTGGGGGGGGGGGGGAGACCCAGAAAAATAATTTTTATTGGATGTGTTATNTGAACTCAAAGAGAGGGGTACAGTGCTTCAAATAGGTTAAGAACCCTTGCAACACTCGCTTTCGCCCCACCCAATGGGCCTACCGGTCAATTTGTCCACTCCAGATATTGTACTAGCTACATTACGTTTAGGGTTTGGGGGGGGGGGAAGATGGGATAATAGGAATCTTTTTGAACTCCTGATTTTAAAAATATGGACCTTCGTAAACAGGATGTGAAACTGAGCTTTAAGTACTTACTCATAACACAATGAGGTTTAAAAAAAAAAGATTATGGAAGCTAAAGTCATTTGTTATTAATGGACTATGCGTGGACACTTGAACAGAGCAGACACTTATTCAGTGGCGTTTGCAGCCGATAGGCCTTAATAGGTGTTTCACAAACTTCCAATAAATAAGTAAATAGCTGCTATGGTATGGGGCACTCTAATAAAAATGTAAAAAAAAAAAATTAGATTGATTATGAAAAGACGTTTTTCCTTTTGGTGGGGGGGGGGGTTGGTTTTCATCCGAAATCCTACAGTAGACTATAGTAGTGCAGTAGGCTCTAGTAGTGCAGTAGGGACTAACTTTCACTAGGATCTTAGAGTATTTTTTAAATAAAAGGCTTATTTATTGCAACTTATGCACCACAAAATAGCCTATAAGTACATTGTGGCATTCTTTGAGGTTCGTCCATACTACGTCCTACAGAGTTCGAGATCTTATTTATTCGTGTACTTGCAAATATTACAATTCACGCCTTTAGATCTTTGTTTTTGTAACTAGCTACACTTCTGCTCAACAGCCCATCAGAACAACATTTGCAACGCTTGGAATGCCCCAAACAAGGATGCACTTAACATGGGTGGTATATTTTCATTTCCAAACAATTGATTTACAATTGCTGAAATGTCCATGTCCTTCAATATCATATTTATAAACGTGTGAATTATGAGAAGAAAAACAAGCCACCAACTTTTATAGCAAACTTACGTAAGAGTTGCCAAACCAAAATATACATCGTCAACGAGTAAATGAAATGATCAGATGATAAATTTTAACAAAAGAGTTGTGGATATTTAAAATGTTACCTTGTGGACTTCTTGTTTTTTGCTGGACTGTTTTCTGTGTGGGCTTTTCAGGTAAGAAAACAATTGGCAGACCTAAAGTTTACTTCCCCCTTCTATGTTGTGGAGTTATCGATGGGCCTTTGATCCTTTCTGTGCTTTTTCCTTTGCAACTGACCTTTGTATGTAAGGAAAGTCATAGAGTTAATAACAACTAAACAATTTTTTTCCATACAAATCCTTTATAAAATTTAATATCGAGCAATTGGGGTGAGGGGGGGGGGAGGGGGGGCGCGGGCAGAAAATTTGACCAAACATACAACAAGCGTACATGTAACGCACTTTATAAGAATCCAAATTTATTACCCCCCTCCCCCCACAGCCTAGCAACCACGCATTATTTTCACGCCCCTGAACTTTATTAATATTCTAAAAACCCACCCGATTTTACAACACAGATTTATTTCCCCAACTACTTCAGAAAAAAAAAGAAAAGAAAATATTACGCACCAAACGGACTAGTGATATTTTGTTAAAAGAATCTCATGTAGCGCAGTTGTCGGGAGTTTTATTTGA